GAGGAGGAGGAGGAGGAAGTAAAAATAGAAGGTATTACATATGAAGATAAGAATGATGATATCTTGTCTGTGTCAAGTGAGGAGGACAGTGAGAATGAAGAAAATGCAAATAAAATAGTTGAAGTAAATGAATTACCTATGGAAAAGAACAAATCTAATATAAATATGATAAATATACGTCGTGCTATAGATATTTCAAATAAAATCACAGAAAATACCTCATCAGCAAAATGTAATAAAATAATTGAAATAAAAGTAAGAAATGAGAATAACCCGGCAATATCAAATGGAAATAATGCAGTTAGTGAGAAAACAATTAATCATAATAAATTATGCAATAGCAACACTATTCCAAGGAATATTGTGACAGATGTGGATAAACCATGTTTAAGTAACACTATTCCAAGGAAAGCTGTGACAGATGTGAATGAACCATGCAGTAGTAACACTATTTCAAGGAATAGTGTGACAGATGTGAATAAACCATGCAGTAGCAACACTATTTCAAGGAATAGTGTGACAAATGTGAATAAATTATGCAGTAACAACACTATCCCAAAAAATATTGTGAAACCGTGCAGTGGCACTATTATACCAATGAATGTTGTGACAGATGTGCATAAACCATGCAGTAGTAGCACTATCCCAAGGAACGATGTGAAAAATATTGTGGACACTTCTAACGAGAAGATTCATAAGCCATGCAGTAGCAACACTATCCCAAGGAACGATGTGAAAAATGTGGATACTACTAACGAGAAGGTTCGTAAACCATGTAGTGGCAACATTACTTCAAAAAACTCCAAGAACGATATGAAAAATCTTGAGGATGACAAAAGGCAAGAGGATTCGCTACCAGTGGCTTCTACATCAAACTACACAAGTAGTATATATATTAATAAAATTGGAGATACATAAAATAAACAAAAAAATTAGAAGTCATAAACATGTATTTTATATGTATGTTGTAGAGGATCTACCAGAGGCCAAAGTGAAAGATGTATCCAAAATTATAACATATTCTGCGACAAAGGATGTGGCACCTGTAGTAACCAGCACGGAAAACGCAGTAATGATAGTAACAACGGAGAATGTTACGGATGAAGCAACCGAGAATATGTCCAACAATATGCAATCGGAAAAGGAAAAGAAACCTCTATTGCGAGTGCGTTCATTCGCTAAACCTCCGGAGACTTGGCAGGATAATCAACATAAAATAGATAAGCCCGCTCAAAAAAATGCGCCAAAGTTAGTAAATCAAACTAAAGAAATTGTTGATTTGACTAACGAAGGAACGGTCAAACCTGTTGCTAGCAAGTGCATTATACAAATTGGAAACAAAGTAGTCCCCATAGTGAAACGTCACAAAGTATTTAGAACATCAAGTAATAATATAATCAACGTCAAAAATATTACAAATAATTATTTGAAGGTAAATACGCGAACGGGCCAAATTATAGCACCTGTGCATGATATTCGCGCAGGAGCTACGATATTCCGACTGCCAGTTCAAACTATTAATCAGAACCAATTGCAAAACACGAATATAGCGAATGAAATATCTTTGAAAGGGAAAACGGTATTAAAAATTGTACCTACGAAGTCGATTATCATACCTAAGCCATCGGCAACGCAATCCGTTTCTAAGCAAACGGATATAAGTTCATCGATAACACAATCCAAATGATTCGAATACATAAGTAAGGTTCTTTTAGATCGTTATACAAAATGTCGATTTGATAAATTTATCAAGATTAATGTTGTTTTAAAATTTACATTTAATGTACATATTAAATATTCGTAGTTTATAAGCTAAATATATAAAGAGATATAATAATATAATTCTTAATAAATGTTTTTAGAAAATTGAATTATACAATTGTATTGAATACAAAGTGCCTTATAATAAATTCCATTAATTTACATATTTATCTCTAACAAAGGATCGCATCCGGCTGGAGACATTTCAATATCAACTTAGCAAGATCATAGTTTGGATCTAGAAGTTTCTCCACTATATCAAAATGATCGATGTCTTGAAGTAAAAGGTATTCCACATTATCCACAATAGAAATAAGTTTCTAAAACAATAATACAATTTTCGTTAAGTATATACTTTGATACAAATTTGTGGAAAGATACATATTTAATATACAATAGGTTTGGTGTTCATTGCTGCACAAGAATTTTGTTTATCTTTTTCACTAAATTAGAAACATATGTTTATTTCACTTTTACTTATAATGTGGAGAGTGTAGATAATTCAGCTACAAAAAACAGATCTATAATATTTAATCAAGTACCTGGGCGTATTCGCGCGATTCATCCACAAACGCTGGCGAATCGCAATCGCCTACGGTTACGGTGACTTTTAAGTTAGTAATACGATGGCCTTTTGCTTTATCAAGAGTAGAAAGACTGAGTGCCTTAATTTCTTCACTGAAAAAGTAATATATGTATATTTGTTATAAAAAATATATGTACATTATACATATTGAAGATGAGTATATACTCCGTATATATTTTTTTATATATGTATATATGTATAGAAAATGTGCATTTTCTTTCTCATTGTCAATGGAATGTGTGTATATATATATATATATATATGCATATATGTGTGTATATGTGTGTGCGTGCGTGCGTGAATGTGTGTGTGTATGTAAAAAAGAAATTAAATACTCACTCGGTCAATTTAAGTGCAGCTGCAAAACTGATATTAATTATAGGTCTTAAATTATAAATGCCGCCTATCAATATGATTTCTTTTAATAGTGCAAAATATCCTTGCTGTGTCATGAGATCGATCCAATCATTATCATGTAATAAACATGCAGCCAAATGTGCTCCAGCACTATGTCCAGCGACGCACACATATCTATGTACATTACGTGTTTATATTATAAACAATTCGTTTTCTATTAAAATTTTGTATAATATACATATATAATCTAATATACATATATATAAATAAAAAGTTAAAGTATAAGATATACTTAGAGCCTGAATCGGCTGCATATTTTAGAATCTGTGCGACCGCTGATTTTATCTCTGCTACTATATCGCCAAGTCTGACTAAAAAATATTAAAAAATTACATTATTTTATTATATAATAAGATAATCTTTTAATCTAAAAGTTTCAAATATGATGACAAATTGTAAAATTCTATAGTATAAACCGTGTCTAATCATTTTAAAGAATTTTTGAAATTTTAAGTTGTATATTGTCTATATATTAACAGAATTTTTTACTACTCACCATTTGGACACAAATCATATCCAATTGTTATTACTTTGATTTTATTTTTAATAAACAGTGGAACCGAGAAGCCAGTGAGGTCCTTGCTAAATTCCTGCCAATATCCGCCATGAATAAATACAAATATCGGCGCATCTAAAATATATAACTGTTCCAGTATGATATGAATCTGAATATAAGTAAAATATACCGATTCGTCAGAAAATAATCTATTATTTAATATCTTTCAGCTCGTTGAAAAGAAATCAGCAGATTATAATGGAATAAGAAATAAAAATATTAATGTTAATGTATTTACGCTAAAAACAATTTTCTTGATATTCATATATTTTATTTCAATTTTAAACCAACTAAACATATACGCATAAAAAAAATTTATGTTTATATATCAAGGCAGAAGTGAATATGATTTACAAGTAAAAGTTTTAACCTTGGAAATAAATTTCACGTAGTCTATCAAAAACGGAAAGAAATCTAATAAAATAATTGATTTTTAAGTATTATAATTTTGCAAATTTATTTCTTTTATTCTTTTTTCTTTCTTAGAAATACATTTATGAAAATATAATGGTATAGAATAAAAATTGTGAAAATAATTTTTTATTGAAAATTTAGATATATTGTTCTAGAAGTTTTTGGTGTCTAAAAATTTTTTATCAAATCGTTACGTTTATATGTATACCTTTCGGTAAATCGGTGCCATATATATCGTACTTTGCACGCTCTGTAGGACCGTACGGCACGTTAAGTTCGCATTTAACAGTTTTCCGAGTCTTTTCCGTAGCTGCAACAACAAAGACCTTCAATGATCACATGATACATCTGACACGCCTTTCTCGTGAATACATAATGATAATATGATCAGAAAAATCTTACAGCTTTTCTGTTAGGAAAACTAGTGTGTGCACATTAATTAATCCTTTTAAACCTTTTAATTGCATGTTCTATTTTATTATAATAACGTCATGATAACGTTTAAAAGATTAAATTATATTTATTAACACTGAAGATATGTAAACCGATTTGTACACAATTGCACCAAGTGTTGCATTAGTTTTCCCACGTGAAAACACTATTAAACGAAGCTCACAAAACTATCACAATTATATGATTCTTGTTTGTAGAGAAAAACTTGGTCTATCTCTTACTTTCCTCACAGAATTTTAAGAATTTTGCGACCAGTTCTTCAGATTTATATCGTTTGCTCCATTCACTCGGAGTGTACAGTCGCTCCTGCTCCTGCAAAAATCAAATAAAATGTTAAATAAGTTGCAAATTTAATTTTACTATTATTGAGAAAAAAGTATGATTGCACAGAATTTCGTCGAGGTTACGTACGGACATAGCCATTCTCGATTAGTCGCTTCGCTCTTCAGAAAATAATCAGAGAATGATCACTGGCTGTTACTCAAAGCGATGCTTGTTAGAAACTGTCGTAGTTTTCTTTAGTCAGGAGACAAGGTAGGGTTATGATACTAAGGCATATGTAACAACGTTGTATATGTGCACGTTCTTGGCTTTACCTGTTAATGTGTGGTCATTAGAATTTCAAATATGTGTATCCTATCGCGAAGGTGAAGTTGGCAAATATTGCTGATACATTTACATATATCAGTTCTATCTAGTACCGTTATCGCGACAGTATGCAAAGTTTTACCATTTTTTTTGGCGGTTTAGAAAATATAGATATCTTGCTGGTTGAAATTAATTTTTACTGTAATATATTAATCTAAACTCTAAACCCCCCGTTGCTTTGAAAACGTTTTGTTTAAATATAAAATAAATAGTTTCTCCAATAAAACTTATTACGCAAGAAACATATATTTATAAATTGTAGATTTTTTATCTTGTGGACTGCGCTGCAAAATCGGGAAATAATTATGCTATATTTAATCTGCTATTTTCCTATATCTGAAGGACATCCTGGGAATATCTTTATTTTAGGATATATGTAGAACGTCTCTTCTGGGTATCTTTAAGAAATTCCTTGGAGGTTTCTTGAAGAGGTCTGTGCTGCAATATGGGCCCTGAAATGAGAAAATTAAAATGAATGAAATAATTCAGTAATAGCCGTAATAAGCATTAAACTTATCGAAAATATTTGAATTTTCAAAAAAAAAACTTTTATTCCATTTCATTTTATAATTATGTTTGCTTTAACTTTATGTAAGAAAACATAGTAAAGAACGAAATTCATATAATTATTATTCGAATTATATTACTATATTTTGAAGATTACATAATTATATTTTGCTACAATATGTACATGTATGTGTATACACACACATACACACACACACACACACGTATATGCAGGCCTAGGTATTTAAAATACTTTTATTTAAAAATAGTATTTATAAAACAATTGTATTTTATATTTCAAATACTAAGATTGATAATAAATCCTATTATTTGAATTACAATATACAAAAAAACTTTTAATTTTCCAATTTTAAATATAAAATATGCGATACTTAATTTTATGTGCTCCTTTGAAATGCAAAATATACTCGTATAGCAAATACTGTATTTTAAATAAAAGTACTTTAAATACATGTCTAGACTTGTATATACATGAATACATATACATTTTATGTTTAAATTTATACACATATGGAACATTGTGTTCTATGGTTAATTACTTGATATAATTACTTGGTATAAAGAAAACAGTGCACATATCTGCTGTTAAAAAAGACAAAATATATTATTATTATCATAATAATAATAATTATTATTATTCGTTTATCGGATAGTCACGTGAAGACGTGTACGCATCTCATTGTGTGAAGGTAACGAGAGAAGACTACAGGAGAGACCACACGAGGTTGCGGAGGTGGAAAACCAGAAAAACCGGCCCTCTCTCCTTTCTTTCTTTCTTAATCTTTCTCTCCGTCCGATCCTCACGCACTTCATTCGCCCTTCGTCTGTGAGAGAGAGAGAGAGAGAGAGAGAAAGGAAGGCAGAAGTTACAGGTACCCGCACCAGCTGATGTATCGAGAATCATGCTGCGTCGACGCCTACCTGCAGGCCGCAGGTAAGAGAAACCCGTCGCAGTCAAAAATTCTCGAGCTGATTCATACAAATACCGGACTGACCGACCGAACAGCGTTGCAACGGTTTGTGTCGCATTGCCGAAATTCCATTTTGAAAACTGATGGGATCCATTTCAAAGTTAGGAATTCAAAAAAGTTCCGGATTTTAAGAAAAGTATCGTCGTATTTCAGAAGAATGCGTTGTGAGATTTTTTTAAACAAAATAAATTTCAACGAGTAGCAGTAGTTTTTTCATCCTATATTTAAAAGACAGAATTGTAAATAGATACATGTAATATGATATAATATAAATAAAAAAAAAAATAAGGAGTTAGTAAGATTTGTTTCGTGTATTAGAAATTTATTCTTCTCTCAAATTAGATAAATATGTAAAAATAAATATTAGACTATATTCGTATGATTGTATAAGATGTGTGATAAAAAAGATATTTAATAAAATTTGTATTATATAACAAAATAAAGACGGAAATATAAGATAATATAGATAATAAAAATTCAGCTTCATTCGGTTTCACTTGATTTTTTCAAATCAACTCTCATACCTATAGTAAGTAGAAATATCAAGAAGGTTATGGACCTCGAATTTTTGAAGAGGACCGGATGTATCATAAACGTTGATTAGATTAACACTACAAAGTCATAAAGAATTTTTAGATAAAGTATCCTTCTATAGGAATGTATATTACAATTACAGGAAAAATGGAATTAAAGATGTAGTATGTTAACTGTAAGCTTAAGAACAAAAATTAGTTTCCTTTAAACGCTGACAAAATTAATCCTTTCACGACAACGAAATTAAAGCTGTATTCTTTTCCATTATTCATTAAAATTAACTTTTAATTTAATCTAGAGTTAAATATTATAATTTTGCGGTGTCATAAGTATAAGTTAAACTTTTTGCACAAATTAAAGTATTTAGTTTATATACAAATCATAATTCTTTAAAAGACTTCTAAAATTCATCTAATCACTTAACAGTATACAATAACAACAGAATAATATAACGACAAGAAAATCAAGTAATAAAATAGTGAAATGGTATATTCATTTGTAATAGGATAAAATAGTAAAGCTATTTTGATGAATGAGTACCGTTTTAAATGTGTATATATTTCAATGCAAACACACACAGAAAAGATTTTTGGACCTTTAAAAGAATACATTGATATATCAACTGGTTTTTCTCTCTATATCTCTATCTAGCATGTATATCTCTTCATCTATTTCGGAATTACATGATGACGTTCAAAGATTAGAGAAGCGCATCTTTTAGTTTAACACGAAGGCATAAACACGAAGGCGTGTTACATGTTTTGAAATAGCTGAATTCTTGTGGTTCTTGATGGTCCTTCTCGGCTTACGCGCGCCTTACTATTGGCTCTTCCATAGTAAGGAGGAATCAACAGTGATGGGTTAATTTATTTGACTCATCGAGTACGCGCAACAGCAATTAGTCTTTAACTTAACTTTCTTATATTTCACGTTGCGTTCACGATAATGACGGAAATATGCGCGACCATGACACTAGATATGAGATGCGAGCAGATGTGATAGAATCTTCCTTAACCCGGCCTATTTCTAACGAAAGACAATGTATTTGACAACAAAAATTGAGTAAATAGAGAGTGTGTAATAATTAAGATAAAGTTTTTATATATAATGAACGAAGAAAAACATATATTAAATATAAAAATTAATATCTTAGAAATTTTACGCATAAACAAGTAAAAACGAGAATTAAACATACAAAAAAACAACAGCAAATCTAGAATTGTTATATATCTATCATTATTTGTTCTTAATGTTTTCATTTTTACGTTCACTGTTCAGATAAACATGTTTATTTAAAGATTATGACTTGTAATTGTCCACTACAGGTTGAGTAACTTATATGTTTCAACTCTACCGAGTATATTATATAATAATATACAGACAATTTTTAATTTGACAATAGATCAATACATTCACACACAGAAAATCATTTTAGCGAATTTTTGTTTTCACCATTTTCAAAGTCTCTTTATTTTCGATTACTTACTCTGACAACCTAATAATTACCACAGGAGTATATCAATAATTGAGATTATCACATCAACATCGAGGATTATGTAAATTGCGTAAATTAAGTGATTTGATTTAATAATGTTAATTCTCTAAAAGATTCTAAAATGTATTCATTTATGATAGTTAGATATTATGATATAAAATTAGAAATTTCTATTGTATTGAGAATGACCTAAAAAAATAAGATCAAAAAAACGTTTACCACTATTACATATGTAGGTATATATTAGAAAATTAAAAAAAGAAAATTTATATACATTTATTTATGTCGGCTCTCTATGACATTATTAATTTTAATTTTTTATTTAATTTTCGTTAGAACTTTAACATTGTTTTTCAGTTTTAATTTTTTTTAAAATAATTTTAATAGAAATTAATTTTTGTTCAATAATTCTTTAAAATGAAATCGAACGAAAAATTTAAATCAGGCGAAGAAAATGAAAAAAATTCATACGATCCTGCCAGGATTCGAACCTGGAATCTTCTGATCCGTAGTCAGACGCGTTATCCGTTGCGCCACAGGACCGTCCTTGGGTATATAAGTATTGCGACAAGTATAACACTGTTTGTACATATTGTTTTCTTGAGAAAAATAAGGTAATAAATCACTATTGTCACATAATAAAATCCATCGACTTCATATGACGTAATTCGTCGAATTATATTTACGTTGAATCATACATAAGGTGACCGTAAAGTCGTGTTTGCGTAGCTAAATTCTTATCAATACAAATAAATTTTAATATCACACTCTACAATATCATTATTGGATTATTTAAGGAAAGATTAGATGATATCGGACAGCTATGGCATAGAATAAAAATTATTAAAAATTTTAGACAAGTGTGGCAGTATTTATTAAGCGATTTATTTGCCACTGGTAAATTCATCTGTACGAAGCCGGAACTTCGCTATAATGAAAAATGCAATATTGTTTGTGAATTATTATTCACTTTATTGTGTAATTTATGCCGGTACGAAGAGTCGACTTCACCAACCAGTTAGATTATTAAATAGAAATTTAATTCACCAATATAAACAACCTCTATGACTCTTTGAATTATATAATCTTTTTTATTTTAAAGCTATTCGTTTCATAACTCTCATGTATAATTTTTTCCATTGCACGACGATAGTGGATAATACAATAAGGTGACGGGTGGAGTCTAAGTAATCAACGAGATTTAGTTTATGACGATCGTTTTGTTCTATAATTGAATACGAGAACTGGAAAGATACTGTACGAAGTAAATAGGAAGAAAAGAGCATATTAGTGAAGATAAGAAAGTAAGAAATAGTGACAATAAGAGAAATAAACAAGCGACATTTTGTTCTTAAAGTATACTTTAGGAGATATAGATTATAAAATCATAGTATTAAAAGCTATTGAGTGGAATCTATTAAAAAAAAATATATTTTCGTTAATATTTCTATCAGCTAGATGCCACTTTCTAATTGTCATTATATACATTTTTCTTTTTTTTGTAAATTGGAGATGGACAAAGTCAGATGTTTTTTAACCATGATTTTGTAATTTTTAATCAGCTGCACACAGCACAGAATATATTTATAATAAATAATCAAAATATTTATTATTATTTATATTTTAAAATATTATATAAATATTTTATACCTATTTTATACAAGCTTTATTCGCAAAAATTATTAAAATATAGATTAAATATTTTATATTTATGATAAATAATATGTTCAGTAAATACTTTTTATTTAAATTATAATACATTATTAAGTATTTTCATAGCATTCACTACAATATATATAATAAATATTTATAATCGTCCAATCTAAGGCCACAAAAATATTGAAAATAAATCTTACAAATATTTTATAAATATTGTGTGTTGTCTGGATAATGATAGTGTCGTTATTATCGTTGAGTAGCGTTTTTCTATATATAATATCTATGACAACATAATGATATTGAATTGTTATTGGAGACATAATCGAGAAACATTTTCCATTTTACAAAAATCAGAAAATATAATAACATTTAAGGATGTAAAAATTTTGATCATTTTCATTTTTGAACAGAATTCAGGTACAGAAATAATCACCGAAATTTTGTTACATAAAAGAATTTTAATTGCAAAATATAAAAATACTTCAGATAACTACTCCCGAATTAAACATCACGTCATGAGTCACAAGCACGTATAGGATCACATGTAATATCGATTGTAAATTAAATAATCCTAATATTATGGTTTTTATCTCCCAAATCAGATTACATGTATCATCAATATAAGAACGGTTGTAAAATTTCCAGACGATAGGATATAATTTACCTTATCTATGTTTTTCGCGATTAATAGATATCTCTACCTTATCTGGTATCAATATTGATCCATCAGTGCACAATTGTATTGTAGTGCCAGTTACATGTCGCGCAAAGAGAGGATAAGAGCCGCTCAGACGAAAGTTGTAAAATTTTACGAGGAATGTTGAAATTAGCGATAATTTCAAATCAAAATTACAATTGATTACTAGCTACTTTTCCCCAAGTGCATCGAACTCTACGAGGAACGATGTATATATAATATATACGTAATAATTACTTTTCGCGTGAAACATTAGATTTTTGTGGAATGCAGCAAATGCGAAAAATCTGTTCGCGAATAATGTCACTGATGAGTAAAATGATTATTTTGTTCGACCGGCTTCGAAAATTGAATCGGCCGTGTTCAACCGGTTTGGAATTCCTTGGTCTTTGAGTCTTTTATGGCTCCTTCTTGGTGCTACCAGAGTTAAAGATCCCTTTTCGCGGAACAGTTCGCTGATTCATCTGAATCCGTGCTTGGTAAAGTCCTACCTGAGATAACGAGATGACGATACTCGGTTCTTCTACGAGATGACTCAAACAGCTGGCTATTACTTTAATGCCTGACACTTTCTCAATGCAACACGATAGGGTAGCTTAGTCAGATAACGTTAGTCTGCTGACGTTACTCGCGAACTATATGATATACGAACACGATGTCTCACAGAGGTATCCCGATCTGCTACTCGGTCCTCGATAGCCTAAGCGGTAATCTGTTAAATATAGATTTAGCGAGAATAATTAATCAGCGAAGAGGCGCAGGTTTCATCACATTAGTTCTATATTTAGAGCACGCGCCCAACGGCGTACGACGATTATAAATGATTTACGATTCGATGCGCGGGATGAATGGAATTGGTGCACTAATTTGTATAATATATATGATCGTGTAATGATTGATATTTTTATATTAATGGAACCTGACGATAAATTATAAATAAAAGGCTTAATTAGATTGGAAATAAAATAAAAATAATGGGCCGAGCTGGAGGCTTTGATATTACAGATTATGACAAATATTCTAAATACAGAAAGAATTTTCTCTTAAAATTTACCATGAAAATAGTGTGATGCAATATTTTAAAGACTTTTATCGTGCACTTCAGTAAAATTAATCAAACTTATTAATCTTATTATATATATATATATTTTTTATTGTAGTTTTATTAAATTTATATAAAACAATTCTTCGAAATGTTATAACATAATGTTATATTATAGCGTTTGCGAGTAACAGCAGCAGAATAACGATTTATCGACTTCTATGTTTCATTGACATATTGTTTTCATACTTGACATTGAAGATAGCTTGATAGAGATCGGAACGTTTTATATGTATTATTCACAGTATTTATTGTCTTTTAGAACAAATTGTTACTTTGAAGAGTGATATATATAGGTACTCTTGAATATTGAACATTGAGCCACTCTTTTTTAGAACTGATTCAATTTTTACTCTTTTTAAATATTTTACTCCAAAAAAATGTAGTGGGCTCTTTAACATTAAAACTTAGCTGTAGCCCATTTAGCATTTTTGATTTTTCACGATATGTTATTGTATAATATATTAGATTACATTAATATTTTTGTTAATTGCAAATAAAGAGATTTTTATATTGTAATTTTTAAGATATCGATTAGCGATATAAATTGTTTGCAGAATATTCTTTGGTGGTTATGGATACCGCAGTATTTGTGAAATATAAATAAATCAACATAAATTAATTATTAATTCATAACAATTGATTGTGAATATTTTATGAATTATAAATGATTTCAGTCTTTTAGTACAAAAATTTTCCCTTTTAGAGAACAGGTAGAAAACATCTGAATTTAGTTTTCCACAGATTTAAGGTTTTCGTTTGACCTGCTCTAAATGAAAGAAAAGGTTTCTCTTCTTAAAGGTTTTCGACTAGGAACATCAAGGGACACACAGGAAGGGAAGACGGTTTAATAAATCCTCTGAATTCCTCAGCTCAGAAACTTGTAGTTATAAGTACTGGCATAGCATCATATAATATTATTACTATAGTGATCATGCACATTCACGCTGTAAGGTCTGCGTACGTCTTTCCCAAGTAAATGTCATGAGTAAACGGCGTGAGAGAGGTTTGCGGCATATAAGCTACAGTTTGGATAAAGATATTATCGTTGCTTCATGCAAACGTCATGCTTTGTCACGCAATGTTGAGCGCATAAAAAAGGGACCGTTACAGTTTTTCGTCGGTTTTCATTCATGTATTACGTGAACGTAATTTTGTGTCACTGACCTAAATAAGATGTTAAAGCAATTTGTAATTTTTCTTGAATGTAGCACGGTAAATTTCATGTAATTTCCGCTTACGTTTCATTCTCTTTCACCGTTCCAGCAATCAAATACAAAATCAATAGATTTGAGTTCTCATGATCTTCATGATTTTTAAATTTTAATGTATAGTAAAGAACAGCTTTTATTTAGAAGCTGTTAATTAAAATTTTTAAGAATTTATGACATATATATATAAATAATATTTAAAAATCAATGTTAGAAATATAAATTTGATTTAATTTAATTATCATTTACTTTCGATTTAATTCACTGTTTACCTTTTTTATAAGAATTAGAATAAGAGAAATATAATTGTAAGAATTAGAAAGAGATAAACGCAGTAAGTTATATAATACATATAAATCAAGATTAAGATAAGATTAATCTTATATTGATGGAATCGGACCTTTGTTTTGAACGTTATTCAATATCTGTACTAATAATAAATACGGATATAGTATAAAGAACTATATTTAGATCTTTTTTAAAAGAGATACGTTTGACATAGAATATAAGAGATCTATTCTTCTCAATAGCTCTAATAATAGATATAAAAAGGGGTTGAATGAACGATTTAGCGCTGATCGCGACTGGATGCAGACGGATCAGAATGCTTGAAGAATCCCACGCTCCCGCGGCATCGGTAGCCAGTCGCCATGGTAACAACCATGCGAGAGTCATGTCGCCGCGCACTGAAGTGAACGACGGTGTCCGATGCCCGCCGACGTCTGCCGAACGCGCCACGAGACGGAAAACCGAGAGCGGCCGAGCGTGCGCCGATCGTAATGAGGGAAAAAGCGAGAGACTAACCTGACGGTGGTGAGAGCAAGGAGGACGGATACAACGTTAGGAGGGTGAGCGAGAGAGAGTTGTAGGTGGGGACGGACGGAGCCTCCCTGCCGCGCGCGCGCCACAGTCGCCGCAGAAGTCAGCGAACAGTTTTCGGTCCCCGACCGGCCTGTGCGAGCCACAAGGTAGAGAAGGAAGATTAAGCACGGTGAACGAGCGAGACAGAGAGGACGATAGAGGGGGAGGACTAGAGAGAGAGAGAGAGAGAGGCAAGGAAAAGGGAGCAGCTCGTGGAACGCCGTGTCCTCGCCTCGCGTGCCTTGTGTCGCGTCGCGTCTCGAGCGCAGCCATTACGACAGAGCCCCGCACGGTGACGCTCGGTAACGTTGTGTAGTAAGTCGCGAGCGCGACGACCACGTTGTTGTTGAACGCGGATAATCTAACGCCGTCCTGCCGCGTAGTACGGGCGTAGCAGAGCCGTGAGCACGTGTGCGCACGCGAGACAGAACGAATTAACGTAACGTCGATCGGCCGCCACCGCCACCGCCGCCGCCGCTGCCACCGAGGGGTTGGCGTTACGCGAGTGAGAACGAGGAAGCGCGGAAGCTGCCGAGCGTGACTCCCGAACGACGCGGACGACGCGGCTGGAAGCTGGAGGAGACTGGGTACAAAACGAATTTGGTTTGTGACTGGACCGGTTGTGGCTGGATCGAACCGCGTGTGCGTGAGTACTTAGGGCGAGAAATCCGATTGAGAGAAAAGAGAAAGAGGGAGACGACGCATAACCGCCACCATGTTTGACGTATTCGGCTCGGTGAAGGGGCTGCTGAAGCTCGATTCCGTGTGCATCGACAACAATGTGTTTCGACTACACTACAAGGCCACCGTGATCATCCTGATCATCTTCTCCCTTCTGGTGACCTCCCGGCAATACATCGGCGACCCGATCGACTGTATCGTCGACGAGATTCCGTTGCACGTGATGGACACCTACTGCTGGATCTATTCCACCTTCACGATCCCGGATCGAACCGGCATTGTGGGCAAGGACCTGGTGCAGCCGGGGGTCGCCGCGCACGTCGAGGGCGAGGACCACGTCAAGTATCACAAGTACTATCAGTGGGTCTGCTTCACCCTCTTCTTCCAGGCGATCCTCTTCTACATTCCGCGTTACCTGTGGAAAACGTGGGAGGGTGGCAGGATCAAGATGCTGGTGCTGGATCTCAATTGTCCGGTGGTCAGCGAAGACTCTAAGAGCGACCGGCGTAAGTTGCTGGTCGACTATTTTATCTCGAACCTGCACTCGCAGAACTTCTACGCGTATCGCTTCTTCCTGTGCGAGCTGATGAACTTCGTCAACGTGGTCGGCCAGATCTTTTTCATAGACTTCTTCTTGGACGGCGAGTTCACCACGTACGGCTCCGACGTTATCAAGTTTACGGAGATGGAGCCCGAGGAGCGCATCGATCCCATGTCCAAGGTGTTCCCGAAGGTAACGAAGTGCACATTCCACAAATACGGTGCGTCTGGTACGGTGCAGAAATTCGACGGGCTTTGCGTGCTGCCGCTCAATATTGTCAACGAGAAGATCTACGTGTTCCTCTGGTTTTGGTTCATCATCCTGTCGATCCTGAGCGGTCTTAGCCTGCTCTATCGCGCAGCAGTAATATTCGGCCCGAAACTGCGAAACGTGCTACTACGGGCGCGCTCGCGTCTCTCGTCGAACGAGCAAATTAAAACCGTCAACGACATGTGCCAGATCGGCGATTGGTTTGTCCTCTATCAGCTTGGCAAGAACATTGATCCGTTGGTGTACAAGCAACTCGTCGCCGATCTTTCAGCCAAGCTGCAAGGCAAGGTTCATGTGTAACATCGAGCGATCGAGAAGGATCTCTTCAAGGAACGCTTCCACACAAGTCCTCTCCGGAAGGTTCCTCATCTCTCTCCCCGAGTGATAACTTCCCTGCTCGACCTAGGGAACAAGCAAACGGTAGGATGTCTCCAAATTGGAGATGAGAGTAAGAGATAGCTGTAAAGAGAGATAAAGAGAGAGAGAGTGGGGGAGGAAGACAGCCATACCGATAATGCAGATTTAAAACGGAGGATTGTAAAAACTGTAGGCTGAATTGCATCGACGACTGTCTGACTTAAGTCTCGCGGCTATCTTTTCTACATATGTATTTTATTCATGATACAAATAAGGAAAAAAGATAGACTAATTAGAATCGCTTTTGAATTAATTCTTTGATGTGAATTACCATGACGAGCATCAGAGATGTTCTAAATTCGAGCTAGATTAACCATTCGAGCAGGCGAATGTTAATCATGTTTACAATTCATACGTCGATAAAAAAAAGAAAGAGATTTAGTCAGTCGAGATAAGTTAATCCTTCGACGAATCGAGATTAATGAATTTTTGTTTATTTGCAATTTTTGTAGTTAATTTAATAGATATATAGGTATAATCATTGAATTATATCTAACGACTGCTTTTTTTTATCGACGTAGAATTTGGATTGATTTCTATGTTTTTTCCCATACTAATTCTGAATTAATGCGCAGGATCTCGAGTGTGAATCGAACTGAAGTCAGCATTAACTGTCGGTGCAATTCGGCCCTGTGGATAGTTAGGCCAAGATTTTTTATGTCTCGCCCATTCCTCTTTCGCGCGAGTACACGCTTCCATTCGACGTCGGGTTTGCGGTGAAGACAAAGCGCGCAGCCCGCCGCCCGTCTCCTCGTCTCTCCTCGTCTTCGCGTCGAACTCTCCTCGTCTTGGAATCCTTTCACCTGTGGAGAGTTTCCCATCGATTTTATACGCCGCTCATATTCCACTTGTTTATCCATTTCGTTTATTTATTTTATCTCACGCACTCCTAGGTATCTTTTTCGAACTCGTGACCTTATCGTCAACCACGCGTCGATCTCTGACCGTTTATCGTTTATTTATTTCATTTTAGCGAATTGTGTTTCGTCATGTGACAATGAGTAACACAGACAGGTCGTCGGATTTTGAATTCTTAAATAGATACATGTTATATTAAATACATGTTTTTTTCTTAATTTAAATTATACAGTATTTTTTCAATTTGTAATAAATGTTTAATACGTCATTCGGTACATTGTATCAATTAAATATGATTTTTTTCGATCAGTTTCATATAAAAAAAAAAACGTTTAGGTTTAATTTAAGACGAGACCGGAATATATTCTCCTTTATTTTTATTGATAAAAATTCCGACCAAAGTAAGCATCAAATCAAAATTTACTTTGCGTATATGTCTACGAGACAGTTCGAGTCACCCGATCACTATTGCCATGACGCACAGTTAATTAGAATCACGCAGCTCCAGCTGGCCTTCTCACAGCTCAACTCGATTGTTCACGTTCGTCATTACGATACAATCGATCGATTCAAAAAATTAAGGTGAAATTTACTTCTTCATCTTTCTTTCGTCAAATCAACACGATAATAACAATACCGAGTTCGGTTGATTTGACGCAAAGGCCGGAGCGAGTTTGTTGGCCTGCGTCACCGTTATCGTTTTCATCCACGCGTGTACTTTGCCAGCGGAGTTCGCATGCACAACCGCGGATAAAGCCCCCTCGATACAAACGTCGTGATAGCGGGGAATAAAAAATCCAGCCTTCTGCGAAACACCTCGCCGCGTGTACACGGAAAGAACGGTTTTACTTAAGTATCTATAAATTTAGCTGACTATATACAGATCTAAAGATGAATTTCTCTCTTTCAAAAATAATTATACAGGACGCTTCTTGCGTCTTTTTGCACCTTCATAATGTTTTTTTTTTACATAATTATTTTGATTCAGTAAAATTATTTTCCAATTTTTGCATCTTAAATGTCATACGTCCGTTTTTACCAATAGATTAACTTTAATTTTGATTTAACCTTTTATTGTTCATTAAGAGATAAAAAGTTAAATCAAAATTAATGGAAACAGCCATTGATGAGAAGTTAATGTAAAAATAAATCAAGATATCAGGGCAAGTAAGAGTCAACGTGCTGAAGTTAACGCGCAAATTTTTCTTTCTCTAATTCTAATGGCTGTTTCCATTAATGTCGATTAACTTTAATCTTGATTTAACTTACCGTTCATCTTTTCTTTAATTCTGCACGGAAAGAATTTTCTTTTAAGATTTACTCTGAAAATATATAACAGAGTGTGATACAATAAGATAAAAATTAATCAAATTCATTTTATATACATATATATTTTATTGTAGTTTTATTAATAAATAAGAGAAATTTACATAAAATCTTTAAAATACATTGTTCCACGATTATCGCCATATTTTCAGAGTAAATTTTAAGAGAAAATTCTTTCCGTGTAAAAATTGAAAAAAGATAAATTGAACTGAGATCAAAATTAATCTTACACGAATGAAGCCGGTAATAAAAATTATAAAAGGATCAAGAGTTAAGTTAAACCGAGATCGAAGGTAATTCATCGATAGAAGATAAACATTCGCAAAATCGTTCTTCCCGTGTATTTTCCTCGCGCTTGCATTCCGACGAAGTCTCGCGCCACTCGGAGCGCGAACCCGTACGTCCCGTGAGGAAGGTGCATGGAACGGAATGACGACGATCAGCCTCGTAGGAATATGCGCGGGAACGAAGAAAATATGCGGGGAGGAGCCGCATGCCCGCCGGGGGGTTTCCATTGTCACGCTCGGCGCGAACGTGGCGCGGTATGCCCGCATATTTTCGAGCTTTGCCGTGCGAAACGATCGTCCCCGAGGACGGGATTTGTCCTTCGACGAAAACGAGGAGAGAAAGAGAAAACACCTGTGAAAGAGCTTAAAGAAAGAAAGAAAGAACAATAATTTAAAAAAAAAATGGAAAACATCAGAGAGTGCGCTCCCGACACTCTCGGAAGCCTTCGTTCGTAGACTTGGATCGTGTGATAAAGCGGGGGACGGCGGTTCGCGTGCTATCTCAGCAACTATTCCTGCCTCAGCTGTTTTCTTCGTATTTTTTTTCTCTTTTTTTTTTTGTGTCCACGTCTTTCCGTATAATCGAGTTGAGCGCGTAATGTCTCGGGTTCGGCGCGGGATCAAGGGCCAAGCAACAACCTGTAACCGCGTAAAGCAGGGACCGGACGTGCCTTTCGCGGAGAGATTTATCTCTCCGTGGGGAGTTCGTGAGCACGTCGTGAAAGATTCAGCATCCGGCGGGTGTTCGTACCGGTTCGCGCGCCGCGACTCCGAAGTTCGCCTCAATCGCTTTCACACCAGGAGAACCGAGCTCGCGCTCGCCGCCCCCCGCGAACCTAATCTAACTTTTCATTTCTTTACGCTACCGATCACCATGATCTTTCTTATATCCTAGAAGCGTATCGTAAGAATGTACATTGTAGGTTGCTGTATGTCGTAGAGAGAAAGAGAGAAAGCAAGAAAAGTTCACTTTGTACATGTATGTGAGCATATCGAGAGAATGAGAGAGAAAGGAGAAGAGAGGGAGAGCTATGTATGAATGTGTGTACATGCATAAATGCCTATAGATATTAACGAGAGCGTCTTCGCGAGTTTCGTCATTCCACGCACAAAAAAGGACGTGCCAGCGATTTTATACGCGAATACCGAGAAATTAGATGATAGACTAGGTTACAATCGACGCGCTGTATGTCGCGCATTAGCTCTTTTTTTTTTATAACGTAAAATTAATGTATATTTTTGAGGGGACCAAGTTGGAACGTCATAGATTATTCTTCGTCAATTCCTTTTTATAATACGGACTTACAATAATATGTATGTAAAAATGATGCGTCGAGGGACCAATGTTATATACAACGCTACAAGTATATTTCTATGATTTTTCTCTTTTTTTTTTCTTTTTTAGTGGTATATAAGACTGGTACCATGAATTGGCGATTAGTATTGTAATACCGCAGCGATTTTTCAACACAACGTTAAAAATGTACTACGCGTAAGGAAAGAATTTTTATATTAAGTAATTTATGCACAATGTAATTACGTGAACGAGGAAGTGAAGTTTGCTTTTAGTTCACTCGTCCATCGACATCACATGTGTTTCAAGTGATAGTTTAGATATTTCAATACGTAGAGATAAATGAAAAAAAAAAAGGAGCACTACCTTTCGCCATTTGTATATTCTACACATAAATTGCGAGCGCGAACATCAGTTACTTTAATGTCTCACTGACGTGTTCACGTGGAATACCTAATATCGCATTACTATCCGAGCCGAGTTGCTCCGACTCGCTTGTATTATTCGACAGAGATTGAAACGTGACGACTTGCGGTGCCGTATCAGCGATACTTTCTGCTTCGTCAGTTGTGCGAGCGTGGAAAATTAACGGCTGATTTAATGGCGCTCGAGACGATTGTTCAAGTTTTATCAAGATAACGGCACCGAGATAACGATCAAGGATTTAAGCGTACAGGATACGGTTATTATATGCGAAAAAATGGTCTGAAGTGTCTAAAAATTTTACTGGATACAAATCTGAAAATAATTTTGTTGGACCATCCAAATAATAACGCAACAAAATATGCTCAGGTTGTTTACTAGAATTTTGAATTTTTTGTAGCATCCCCCGTCATGTCTGAGTTTCCTACGTAATTGTTTTGACGGTTCGACAAAATTATTTTCAAATCTGTGTCTATATATGTATATGTATATCTAAATTTTTAAATACTTCAGCAAAATCATTCTTTCACCGTGCAGTATTCGAATTACGCTAAAACCTTGCAAATCTATTTGTTAGAAAACTAATACGATTGATTTAAACTCATTCGACAATCCATGTTTTCTTATCTTAATCTTGTACAGATACAATTGTATATAAAAATGACATATCATTATGTCTCATATCTTTTATCATCATACGCAATAATTGAATCAAGATTTCCTTGAAAAGGAAATAAAATTCTCATAAATACAGTCTATAATTTGTACAGTAAGAAAAAAATATAAATTTTTAGAAATCGTATCTGTATGATATCAGTACAGACTGTAAATGATGGTTTATAATCTGATACATTGCATCAGCTCCGTTTTGGACGCATAAAAATACCTACTTTTGACAAAATGTGTGTAAAACATACGAATGGGTAGTGCTGTAGCGCTAAGAAGTTATTAGAAGGAAAGAAAAACGCGACGTGATTTATATATTATATTCGCTTCTTTGCCATCTAGAACATTTCCACGAGAGATCTATGC